TTGTGTAGAACAAGGCTCTACACAGTGCAGAGCTGGTATTTTGAGGCTCACAACAGATCTAAAAGCATTATCTGACCCCCAGCCCCCACAAATACATCCATCACAGACACCTTCTCAGATAAGCATTATCAAACTGTCACACAAGATCTAGGCAGGGGAACTTTGAGCCAGCAGAAACATCCTTTACACGAAAAGGGAATCTCAGACATCAGTTTGCAGAGCCGAGTAGAGGTAGTGCTGCATCTGCAAGCTAAAAGCAAGATGTGTTTCCCAGTCATGTTCCAGCTGGCAGGTGGTCAGGGAGACATTTCATCAGAAATCAAAGAAGACAAGAAGTGTTTTGAGAGGCGAAGGACAGCCTTTTCCTGTGTCTTCCATCCACTTGTGTTTGGTTTATCAAACAAGCTATGAAAGTGATGGGAAGAAGAGTTTCCTGCCTGAGGTAAGCCATCACTGATTAATACTTCTGAGCTTTCCAAAGAGGCTTAAACAGAGTATTGCATCTACCTGCAGGCTGGAAGAGAAAGCTTCAGGCAAAGGGTTAGCCCAGAAGCAAAGCAAAAAATTACTGGTAGAAAGTCTCTTGGTCAAGAATTCTTTTTGCTGCTTTTTCATAGAATCATAGAATAGTTAGGGTTGGAAAGGGCCTTAAGATCATCAAGTTCCAACCCCCCTGCCTTGGCCAGGGACACCTCCCACTAAACCATGTTGCCCAAGGCTCTGTCCAACCTGGAACAGACAGCAAAAACAAAACAACAACCACCAACTAAACAAAGACCCCTAGAAAACCCACACACAGACTCCCTTTAAGATCCCAGAAAGTATAAAGTGGGATGCTCTGCACATTCCCTCTGTGTGATCAAATGCATTAGCACAGGGGCCCTGTTTTTCTTCAGTACAGGAAAGATCAAGAAAACAGGATGATAAATAATGTATAGGAGGAACATGTTCCTTTAAGATATGTTGGCAAAGAAGTTAGGCTGGAAGAAGTAAAGCAGCATTAGTGTGTAATTACACAGAGGGCTTTCAAGAGTCTGCATTTCATGGAGATTCAAAAACAGAGCAGAGATTTCTTGGGTTTGTAATGAACAAATACCAGTAGCATTTTAACATAGCTATAAAATTAGACTAGTCCTAAGAGAGGAATAATTTGACTAGTTTAGCTAAAAGATGTGGGTTAACTGGCAGAAGGGTGATTGATCCCTATTCCTGTAAGAGTCAGGAGTCAGTCAGATGAAGGGAGCCTCAAGGTACTCCCAGGATTGAAAGCAGATGTCCACATGATTGGGACAAATGAACAATAGAATTAAGTGGGAGAAAAAACAATACCCTTGAAGACTGAAAATATTCTGGAAGGAGAACTGAAGAGATGAAGGTCAGCCCTCTGCATTCAGAAATCTGAGTGCTAGGCTGTGGATAGCGCTGGAATACAAACCAAATTTCATTTCCTAGGAACAACTAAAAGCATTCATTGCCTGCAAAACACTTACTGCTTGATCCATACAGAGCTACGTGACCACACTTTTCAGCTCTGAAATTTCACTCAGGTTAAGCTAAACCCCAATAAAACATTCTGAATTGCCCATAAAAACAGTTGTTGTAACAGGCATAAAGATTTGAAGTGACGCACGGTGAGCTGGGGCATTGCAAAGCATGATGGAAAGGCCATGGTTGCTCTTCAGTGGTGAATCCAGCAAGGGAATCCACTCTTGAGAAGTGTGCCCTCTGAGAAGAGTTTGGAGCGCATCCAATACCTGCCCTTGGCACACTAACTTCACTATATCTGAAAAGTTACTGGGCAACCTAATACCAAGTCCCTCCATTACAAACAATTCCAGCATACTTCAAAAATTTGCACAAGCAAATCCTCTCACTTGGAACAAGGGAAACACTGGGGGAGTGCACCCAAAACTTCTGGAATCTCTCAAGGATACTGAGACTAAAGATAAAAATCAAGATCAAGCTTATTTGCTTGGCAGAGCAGTGCAGCCTTCAAAGCATAGCCTGAACAAATATTGACAGCTCTGTGGATGAACAGAACTGGGCAGTGAAGAGCCCTGGCAGCCAGAATAGACACTTTCATAGTAGGAAATTTTCTATTCTGAGTCTATGTACACCCTTATTGCCCTAATTGGATAATTTATTCCCCGCTTTAAGATTTGAAATGTGGAATTCTTTCACAGAACTATAGAATGGTTTTGGTTGGAAAGGACCTTAAGATTATCCAGTTCCAGCCCCCCTGCCACAGGCAGGGGCACCTCACACTAAACCATGTCACCCAAGCCTGTGTCCAACCTGGCCTTGAAGACACCAGGGGTGGAGCATTTACCACTTCTTCAGGCAACCTGTGCCAGTGCCTCAGCACCCTCACAGTAAAGAACTTCTTCCTTGTATCTAACCTGAACTCCCCCTGTTCAAGTTTAAACCCATCACCCCTTGTCCTGTCACTACAGTCCCTGATGAAGAGTCCCTCTCCAGTATCCTTGTCGGCCCCTTTCAGATACTGGAAGGCTGCTCTGATGTCTCCACACAGCCTTCTTTTCTCCAGGCTGAACAGCCCCAACTTTCTCAGCCTGTCTTATTTGTTTTAGTTTCACAGCTCTCAAAATGACTAAGCCTGTTTGTGCAGGTACAGGGACACAGTTTGATCTGCTGAACTCCAGAGAAAAAACAAAAAAAGGGGAAGGGGAAGACAGTGACTAGTTCTATATTACAGAAAAAACAAACACACAACTTTTTCCTGTCTTTCAAATCACCTTCACAGAACACTCGGTGTGCACAAAAAGCCATTTTAGAAATTCACATCTTACTTCAAAAATAAGTAAACGGGAAAAACATGATCTGCAGCACCTAAGTGGATCAGAGGTTTGTGCTCTGTGGTGACAGTTTTGTTCGTTATAATGATCTTAAATTACTATTTATTCTTTCAAAGGTGGAAGAGGAATAGGAAGTGAAAAGAAAATGGTTATCAATCATGTCATGGTGCAGAAATACTACAGAGAAGCAACGTGAGCAGTTTCAGAAGTGTGGAAGACTTCTTGCGCACTGTTTGATTTTTTTAAGTATATATGGTCAGAAGTTCAGAAAAGGCCCTGAGGTGTCAGCTTGAAAGCAGGTACAAACCAAACCTGATCTTGAGAGATGCCTGAATGATGATTTCAACGGGGTATTTCAGAGCTACCTTGCCTTTAACTCTGCCAAAGAAATCCTGTTGGTGGGTGGAGGTCACTATAGTCATGCTCTTTATCTTTCTTAAGCTATTGTTTACTGACTATTTGCTCAGCTGACTAATGTCAGTATTACTTTCTGTGGAAACTCACCTATCCCAGATGGAGTATCATGATTCCCAATCACATCAAACACACAGGTTATACCTTCATTTGTCCCAAATGCCTACTGTCAGTCATTAACTCTCTCAAACCTTCACTTAACAGTGACCACTGCAACTTGCTCAGAACATGGAAGTACACTGTTCATTGATCTGATATTGATACACTGAACTCCTGATACTATGCATTATTTTAACTTTGGTAATCCACAAAGAGGAAATGCATTTTGGTAGTTTAAGCTATTTTATAACCAACAAAAAATATCAATCTCCTTATAAAATCCATGGAATATGAAGTATTTCTGAGGTCTTTCAAAGTCAGCATTCATTCTAGTTACTAAACTATAGAGATAAATTAACAGTAAAACTAAACAGCATTGACTAGCTGTTTGATTCTTGTAGTAAAATTGCCTTTACACAGTTTCACATGAGCCTTCCAGATTTTGCCACATGGATGACTCACACCCAGTGCAATTTGGAAGTACCTTATTGAGAAAAAGAGATAACACACTACCAAGAAACCCTCTTTTCTTGTTACAATGCCATCTACCCAAAAGATCTCTTCTTGTAGCAACATGGCCTGTATCTTACCTCTTCTGCCAAGATGTCAAACCACACTATTCCTGAACTGCTTTTCACCCTAACAAAAAAAAAAAACCAAAACAACCAGAAAAAAAGCTTTAAGCATTTCCCCTCAGACTTACTGCAGTATTTATCTTAGTCACCCATTCACCAGTGAGAATCTCAGCTGTTGAAGTTGAGAATGTGCACAGGGCAAAAAATATAATGCAAGTTGTCCAATCAGTCAAAGCAGCAACTTAGGCCTCATTTGGAGATTAGAAGGACACTGATGTAAGAAAAAAGGCAAAACAAAATCCACAAAAACACCTTAAAACTGTGGTCAACTGAAAAAGAAAGCTACTCCTGTGCTTTGAAATCCTCTGTAGTACTGCTGTACTACTGCAGTAGTACTACTCTACTACTCTGCAGTACAAAGACTATTGTGAAACACTCTGCATGTTGATTTGCCGCAGAAAAAGATAAGAGGAAAGGAAGCAAACAAGGAAAGATTTGCAAATGGGCATCAAAGTCAGAAACATGTAACCACTGCAAGCACATGCATTACCAACAGACTTTTAATGAAGCTGTCTGGAAGAGTTTTAGACATTGTGCAAGACATCATCAAGTTGGCAAAACATACAGCAATTGGCTATGTCAACATCAACAACACGGAAGACCAGCACATAGCATTTTCCTAAGAGTCTTTCACCATCTTGTTCAACAGGACAACAACCACACAAGGAGACAAAACAGTTCAAATTCATACTCAGAAACAGGAAGAACGAGTGGTGCTGAAACCAGAAGCAGTCTCTGCTTTTGATACTAACAGCCCTGATTATGTCAAGCAGAATTTAGAGGGTTTATACGCTTTTAAAAGCTCCGTTGCCCAAAGTGACTGCTCCACATGAACGTTTGTAACAGAAGAGGTACTGAACTGTATGAAACCCATTGCACATTTCCGAAACATGCCCAGGGAGCCCTTGGCTAACCCAATGAAATCCAGCATTCACAACATAATCAGCATGTGTCCAGCTCCATTCTCCATGTACCCTGACTGTTTCCAAAAGCCCCCCTCAGGCTGGCCCTATTGGCAGTGTCCTGATGTACTTACTATTCAGTGAAGAACCTGGCAATGCCATACTGGCTAATATCTTCTCTGTTCTCCAGCAGCTGGCTCACTGCATCCTCCATGTACGTGAGGACATGTCTTTGAGCTACAAATAAAAGACAGTAAGAGACAGAAGTTAGAATACAAGGGGCCTGCAAAACCCAGAGCCAGACCAGCCTAGTTGTGTGCCTTACACAACAAGCCAACAAGCATTTATTCCCTCAATTAGAGCAGAGGTTTCACTCTCCCAGATACTGATGGTCAAATTCCTGACCTAAACCCTGTTTTCTTTCCTGGCCACACAGAGTTAGTCATTAACAATGCTAACCCTCTTTTAAAAAACCCTGAGATTCTGGAAGAGAAGGAAAAAGAGAAGGAGTTGTGAGGCTGCCTCACTGGAAAATGCTTACTCAAGAGGAGTTCTTGATCTCTGTTCTGAGTCACTGCCATCTTTCCTATACAGATTGCCAATGCCTTATCGATGGGGCTGTTGCAGACCTGTGGGTGTTCCCTGCCCTTCCCTCCTTACTAAAGCCAAGTAGCTCTAAGGTTGTTCTGCAAAGTTTCTTTTTCCTAAAGGTGCAAATATAAGCACATCTGTTTTCATACAAGCACCAGTGAATGTTCTTGGAATGGCAGGTGGGGAACATTTCTTAATGTCAAGAGAGATTTATATTGCTCAACAGTCTCAAATAACTGCATAAACCAAACATCAGGAAATTTCAGAGCGGTGGATCTGCCAGTACCCAACCACAGAATGCCACTCACTTGTAAGACTCCTGAGTAAAGATAGTTTGGTACAACACAAACAATTTTGCTGCTTCTGCAGGAGGCAGACTCTCTACAAATGAAGCACTTGCCAGGGAGGAAGCAGCAGAGATTTGCCACTCAGCCCCTTTGATGTTTTTGGCTAGAAACCAAGTTGAAGCAACAAAGAGCTGAGTCTGGGGTGATGCGCCAGCTACCAAGCAGAAGAGCTTCCAACTCTACAAGTTCAACAATCAGAAGACAAGTCACAACGAACCCAGGAAAATCATTCCTAACCTGGAAAGCACACAAACCCTGTTCCCAAAGCACACACCTCCATCCTAAACACGTATGCTACTGCACCTTTGCAAGTAGCGTCGTGTCCTAAAACGAGCAAGAGAAAACCCTTAGGGGGTATAGGAAAAGCAAGGGCTGATCTTGCTCCTTGCCAATCTGTTCCAGACTTGGCAGCATCACCCCCTCACTAGCAACTGGCCAACCTCAGACCCACATCAATATTCTTCAAACCAGTTTAATTTGTGCTTAATATCCTGGTAAGCATCAAGCCTGTGCCACTTCATTCACAGCATGGAAGTCCCTTTCATCTTAGTGTGGGGCAGGTGGACTTCAAGAGAGACCTGGAAATGATTATTCCCAGTGGATACAGTGATTAAAAGTATGTATGAATATTGATTGCTATCAGGGGATTTCTCTGCCTAGAACACATTTCAGGACAATGGTAAAATTGGTTAAGCACACCCTGGAAAATACCTTGCAGCTGATAGGAAAATGGTGAGCCAAAGGTTCAAAGATATTATCTGGCACTAAAAGATGCAGGGCGTAGCTTTATTTAATTATTTTAATGCAAAGGAATAAATTTAATTTATGTGAGTGATTAAAGAAAAATAGTTCTGCGCACCTGTGTCCCCTGAGGGAGGAATGAGTCGTGCAGCTCAGGCTCAGGCTCCAGATAACAGCAACTGGGGAACTTGATTTCAGCCAATCCTTTCCCCCCCTTCATCATGCAGCCCCTCACGCCCTCAGAAACTGTCTCACCAGGCCCCTCTTGAGCTGTCAGTGGTACCAGATTAAGCCAAGAAATGGTACTAGAAGACAGGCTTCCACTCCTCTCAGCCTGCAAAACCATTCTCAAACCCTTGTGGGGAAGCATACACTCCTTTCATAGCATAGCCCCTTCTTTAGTGTCATTAAGCCCTCCCCTAAAAGCCTATGGGAATAGACAGGCATGGTCTCACAGTGCTACACAGCATGATGTGGCTGACCTCTGTAACAAACACCTTTGAGTATGCTCCTGGAGAATGAATTAACTTTCAACATAGAATTTCAGACGTTTCTGTCACACTTAAAAATGGATGCAAATATATATGGTCACTGTTGAATACAGTCATTGGTAAAAGGGTCTATCTGTTAAGCTTTTTGTTGCGTGGCCTAAGGATGCTGGCAAAGAACCACTCTCTATTTCCAAGAAGGTAGGTAGAGGTGTGGGAGAGAGAAATTGGTGAGCAGAGAAGCTGAAGGAAATAGCACTTGCAGTCTCTTTGAGAAGTGTCTCTCTTCAGCTCTTTGGCTGCTGTTTTCCAGGCAGCACAGTTCATGCTGCCAAACCAAACTCCAGCTCTGGCTTCCTGTTCACTGGCTGCCCAGTTCCATAGGATGGTACAAGCAGTATGTTGTCTAACCCAACCAACTCTACCCTACACAGAAAAGCCATAGAATCAAATCTAATTTGCAGGCAGGTTCTAGCAGGCCAGAGAGGCAAAAGAAAGTGCCAGGAGTCTGGTTATAGCAAAAATAGGAGTTCCATAATTTACACAAATGGGCTTTCCATAACAAACACTGGAACATTAACTATTTATGCAAGCAGAGTTAAAAATCTGTGGGGTCCTGTGCAAAATAAATGAGCTGATTCTGATGGTTTAATAGGTTTTGAAAATTCAGGGAGAACCTGGTGTATTGGAACACATGATGTTCATATTTTTGAGGCTTACTTTGCAATAATAATGCAGCAAGTCCAAATCAGAACGTAAAGTCCAAATACTGTGCTATTACAGCTTGCTGTCTCTATTTTCTTCCTAATACAACTCCAGTATACTGCAGCTTCCACTCAGGAGGTATTACAATATGTTATCATCCTCAGCATTTATTTGTTTATGGCTTATTGCAACAAAGGCTCTCCCTCCTACTTATACAACACTTTCCAAAGCAACCCATATTTGCTAAGCTCTTCCATGAAAACCCATGCAACTATCCCAAGCAGTAAGTGTTCCTGCCACACTCATTTGACAAGTGCTACTCTTTGCTGTCAGATTTAAGAACTACTAGGCAGCTTTCAAGGAGGATCTGACAAAGTTGAGAGGAATCTTGGGGCAGCCCATGACCTGACGTTAAGCAGATACCTTTGCACAGAATACCTTACTTCTTATCACTAAACCACTAGCAGTGATGTTACTTAGAGACTTTGTCCAATGAGTAGCAACACGGACAGTACAGCTCCTCCAAAGCTGCTACTGCAGCACTCAGGAGAATGGCCTCTGATGGTATTACCACCACATTCACACGCTCACATCCTACCATTACCCACATGCCCAGTGTTTGAAGTGAATTTTGGCATGAATGCACTTTTGGCTTAGAACCAAATCAAGGGATAACAAGGGCTGATCAATTTAGGCATGGCCAGACTAAGTCATATAAATCTCCAGCTTACAAGGAAAAGGCAAAATGAGGATTACACCTACAGTCAAGCCATAGTCTCTATGGACTTCAATACAACAGATTAGACAATCAGAATTAACTTGATTTAGCCATAACTGCACCAAATATTTTTGCATGTGTGTTTAAAATAGTAAAAATAGTCCTTTTATAAGCCACAGAATGACCTGTTTCAATCTTCTTATGAGAGCAAACAATCTGTTTCATAGGACTGTCACTACAGTCATTAATAAATAGTTCCTCCCCAGCATCCCTATAGCCCCCTTCAGATACTGGAAAGCTGCTATGAGGTCTCCACGCAGCCTTCTCTTCTCCAGGCTGAACAGCCCCAACTTTCTCAGTCTATCTTCATACGCGAGGTGCTCCAGCCCCTGATCATCCTCGTGGCCTCCTCTGAACTTGTTCCAACAGTTCCATGTCCTTTTTATGTTGAAGACACCAGAACTGCACACAATGCTCCAGGTGAGGTCTCACGAGAGCAGAGTAGAGGGGCAGGATCACCTCCTTCAACCATGCTCCTTTTGATGCAGCCCAGGATACAGTTGGCTTTCTGGGCTGTGAGCGCTCACTGAAGCCGGCTCATGTTAAGTTTCTCATTGACTATATTTTTATCATCAGCAGTGCTCAGGAACAGAGAGGATTAAGACTTCAGAAGTAACTGACACAAATAGTACTGTGGCATGTTTATACCTACTTCAGCATTTATTAGCAACACAATCCCATTAACCATATTGGTTTTGTGTATTAGTTTCCCAGTTTTACAACTGAGATACATCTCTCAAATGCTACATTGATAAGAAGTTTCTCTTCCCACTAAGTCTGCATTTTCTAAAGGCAGAGAGGAAAAATCGAAGATCAGTACACCAGCACACTTACTAAGTGATGCTGCCTGAAATACTTGAAATGAATAGCAAACATGGGATGGCCAGAAGATGCAATAAAAATAGCAGCAAATGCTGCAAAAGAAAAAGAAAGTGTGTCAAACACCTGAAGAAAGAGTATGACTGGAATAAATTGGTATCAGATACTAAAACACACATCACATACCTTGTTTAAAAAAGCAGCAGAAGAGCCCTACAGCAGAGGTAAGTCCTTACTTATCAGCCAGCTACATTATTGCTCAACTCTACCCAAGAGATGACTTCTTCTGGAACATGAGCCGTCTACCAAAACAATTTGTACTGTATGCACATAAGAGGGCTTTTGATTTTATGGCTGGTTCATTCCCAGCATAACAGAGTATGTTGAAAAATCATGAGTGGGAATTCCTGGATAAAACAACCAGCTTTTATTAATTCTTTGCCTTCTCAACTGAAGTGCCAGAAAGATACACTATTTGATAAAATCTACACCAATTCATTCCAGTTATCAGAAGTTAAAAAGCATAACAAACTGTAATATATATGGAGTATTTCTGGCATTTTTTAATCTCTGAGACCATATAAAGTAAAAACTAAACACCTTTTCAGAATTTATTCTAAAATGGAGCTTAACTAAGGGTGCTACTGTATGACCCACACTGGAAGGACACTTCTATGGTAAGACAAAATTGATTTCATGAAAATACTACCAAAAAATAAAGATGTAAGTAGGACTTAGTAAGGATACAGTCTGTAAAAACTGGAAGTT